TGTTATACAAAGAAAACATGGGCAAGGGAACCCCTTTACCTGTCACTCCAGAGATGGAGAGAGTCAAACACAATCAAGAAAATATTAGCTCGGTACTTTGGCAAGAAAATAAAATAAAAAATAAACTACTTCTTTAATGATTTAAAATAATACATATTAATCCTACTTTTTAAAAACAACTTAAATTTTGTGAATTTATCACATTTATCCTTTTTTTCCTATAGGGCTACTCCTAGCCTTAACTCCATAATAACAAGATTGTTTTAATCCATAATTTAAAATTCTAATATCAGGAAGTAACAGATTTTCCAATAAAACATTGTTTTGCTCATCTCTCCCCAAACTTACTCTCTATCCACTACCCCCAAGGTCTCTTTGTTTTACATACTCATGAAATTTGGGGTGGGGTTGGCATAGTAGGTAGAATGGGGCTCTTTCTGGAATATTGGAGTTGTGAGTTTGCTGGGTTTTGTGCCTGTGATATTGTGTTCTAATCTTCCCCGTCAGACGTGGACGAAGAGACCTTGGGAAAAATAACCCCTGATCCTCTCCTTCAGGAATAATGACGTAAATTAAGATCCTGTAGTGGTTTTGGCAAATGATGATCAATTTACTTAAAAAGGAAGGCATTGCTAGGACTATTTTAGTTTTACCCGTTTTAGTTCTTTTTGTTTCTTTGTCTTTATGATGGTCTTTAACTGCTAACTTAGTAAACCGTTTCCTATAAGCCTGTGCTCTGTGATATTACATATGTTGATAAGTTCCTGGGGGACTGGGGTTTGTGTTGGGATGACTTTAGCTTTCGTAAAGATGGAGCATGTGGCCCTCCACATCAGCACTGTCTACAGATTTCTCTAAATATATAGTTGAACGTAGTGTTTCTAAACCTCCAGGGTGCCGCGAAATCACCTGGAGCGTTTCTTAAACCAGATTACTGGGTCCTTCCCCCACCATTTGTCATTCTGCAAGTCCGGTGTGGGGACAGAAAATGTGCATTGCTAGCAAGTTCTCAGACAATGATAACCTTGCTGTCCAGGGGCCCCACTTTAAGAACCGCCATTTTAATGAAGTCTTTCTCTTGAATAGCATTTCCCAAACCTCCCCTGTCCTGGAGAATGACACTGAGGGGAAGGAAACATTGAGGTTGAGGATTTGTCATGATGCATTACTATATGTTTTATTGATTTACCATGACAGTGATATAATTGCTGGAAAGGTTTTCTTACTGAGAAGTTTACTGTTCTACTAAGCTAAAGCAAGAGGCAGAACACAGATAATAGCTAGGAATAAAGGGAGGAGAAATCCTTTGCTTGTAAGATGGCCCATGGTTTCACTGATGTATCTATATGAATTTAAACGCCGCACAAAGACTGGTCCCTCCCTGTTTCATTAGGAGCAGCCTCAACCTTCCCAGTGGTATTCAAGTCCAGGCCCCTAAGTCCTGTTTAGATCATCTAACAGGTGCTTGAATTTCACAGAGTAGGGGAGAGTGAAGGAGGTCCCCTATCCCTTTGGGCACGCTGCAGTTCTGTCTCGCAGGGTTCTACCCTGGAAATGTGTGTCTTGTAACTACATCAACTACCTTTAGAAGCATATTGTGTTTCTTTCCATCTAACCTCACTGCCCAAATGATTTGGCGCCCTGCTCTCCTAACAGATTCTCTCTTCCATTTAATCTTTTGGTAACTGTAATTCTTTTTCTCTTTTTGGCTCTTTGGATCCATTGGATTCACGTAGGTTTTGTACAAAGAAAATGTGGGAAAAGCCACCCCAACCCCTGTCACTCCAGAGATGCAGAGAGTCAAACGCAATCAAGAGAACATTAGCTCGGTATTGTCTTGAGAAACGAAAGTGCTTCTAATTTTGCAAAGTAACCACTGCAGTTTGGCCCCCTCCTAACTCCATCCCAGGTTAAAGGCAAACAAAATGCCAGTATTTTAGAATCTCCTCTAAATGACACTTACCATTGCCATTAACCGTTTTTAAAGCTTTCTTCTTGAGAGCTGTTCTCACTAATGGTAATAGATTAAACATGGAGTTTTCGCCCCCAAATTGTGTTATATTTAAGAACCTGAAAATTGCCTCCTAGTGACTCTCAGGTCCAACTTTGTATCTCACAGGTATTATACAAAGAGAACCTGGGGAAAGCCACCCCCACAGTCTTGACTCCTGAGATGGAAAGAGTCAAACGCAATCAAGAAAACTTTAGCTCGGTATTTCAGAGAGGAAAAAAAAAGATTGTTACACTTTTAACAAGCCTTGCAAATATGGTTATACCACTAATTTATCTCACAGTTCTCCCCAAACTTTTGTTTATCTTTTAAAATCCTTCTTTACCCACTTAAAAACAACACACCAACCCCTCCAACCCAAACTTCTCTCTTTATCTTTTGCTTTATACAATAACATTGTAATGGCTTTATCTTCCTGAGGTGTTTCCTATAGAGTGTGATATAATTGAGCGATAACACCAGCTACATGATGGTTTTCAGAACTGTTTTTCTGCTCTCTGATGTATGGATGCTCTCTTGGCTCCTCTAGGTATTGTACAAAGAAAATATGAGAAAAGCAACTCCGACACCTGTCACTCCAGAGATGGAGAGAGCTAAGCGCAACCAAGAAAACATTAGCTCGGTATTTTCTAGGATTAAAAAAAGAGGAATGCAACAACTTGGACAATAACATTTTAACATCATAAAAACGTGCTTTTCTCATTCAACTGAAAAACATGCTAAAATGAAAAAAAGGAGGGAAAATAACATTTTAACACCATAAAAATTGTGCACTTTCTTATTCAACTGAAAATTGACACTAAAATTAACACAACTGTGCTTTTAAATTCCAAATGATCATACTAAGACATAACAAGTTAATTGCCAATGTTTCCTTCCCCGGGGTTTTACTTTACTCTGAGGTAGTCTTATTGTAACCATCTGTAACAAATTGACTTCCTAACATCCTCAATCATCAGCTGTCCTCTTTTTTTCTTTAAGGTACTCTATGAAACAGGCAATACTTTAAAATGAATGCCTTCTTTGGTTTTGATGTTTTTCATGTCAGGAGGATTTTGATTTCTGTATTCGCATATCAGTTTATGAAATCTGGACATAACCCTATGAAAAATGATCACTTGTTTTAAAAAGTAGTCCTTTCAAATGTCAGTATCACAGTTAGCACCAAATATTACCATTCAATCAATATACTGGTACTGGTGCTACATACGATTCTCAGCAAATTCAAGAGACTGCTTTCGTTCCCTTTCTTTCAAAATTATACTATGCCCCTTCTCCTTTGAAAATAAAAGTTGTATTTTCAAAGTCAAATCCTTTCTCTCCAGATGCGAGCCCTGCTCATTTAGCCTCATGCTAACCTGTTCCACTGTTAGTCTTGGGTTTTGCTGGGTCCTTTCGGTTGACTCCAGCTTCCCTCCCCAGCTCCTTTCATCTCCATCTGTTGGAAAGGTTTTGAGGCTGCAGAATCAGGACAGTACCATGACCTGTACTCATTCATGGCCTCTCCTCCATCAGGTTCTTTATTCTGATAGCTTCCGGAAACAAATACAAGGCAAAGCTGCCTATGTCTTGGACACGCCAGAGATGAGACGGGTGAGGGAGACCCAACGCCACATCTCAACGGTGAGTCATGGATTCTTTGGGATTTGCAGGCCACCCTGTGGGAACACGTGAAAAAGGAAATGGCCCCACCATCACAGTTCCACAAAGCTCATTCATGAAATTGCAGGTGAAATATCATGAAGACTTTGAGAAACACAAGGGTTGCTTCACACCGGTGGTGACAGACCCTATCACTGAACGTGTAAAGAAGAACACACAGGACTTCAGTGACATTAGCTACCGAGGGATTCAGAGAAAAGTGGTAGAAATGGAACAAAAACGGAATGACCAGGATCAGGAGACTATTACAGGTATTGGGGCCCTGGGGAGCAAACTCGACTTTAAGTTAAGGGGGCAGAAGAACAAAAGTGACATTATCTATACAGCAAGGCAAAGGATAAAGGACATCAATCTGTGTTTTTGTTAGGTGTGAAAGGGAACCTACAATTCCACATTTGCAAAGCTGACATCTCTTCTACCTTATGCTTTATCTCCTCTGAGAAGACATGACTAGAACCTAAGCTAAATTAGTGTTATTCAGTCCTCCTGCAGTTAAATTCGTACCTTTGGTCCCAAGTTATTGAAAGAGTTCAAGAACATCTGTTCTGATACTTAATCCCACTTTCAGGTTTACGTGTCTGGCGTACTAATCCTGGCTCAGTTTTTGACTATGATCCAGCAGAAGACAACATTCAATCTCGAAGCTTACACATGATTAACGGTATGTTATACCACAAAAGGCTTATGACAAAAAAATGTCACTATTTGATGGGTAGAGTCAATGACTTTCAGTCTCTGAACTTTTCAATTCCCTGAGCTGCCCATTCAGCATAAAAACACCTCCTTGACTCATGGGCCAAACTCATTTTCTAGACAAGTTCAAATTAGGGACAGGTTGTTTCACTGTCTCAGTGTAACTCTCCTTTGGGCTCCATCATTATTTTTTTCCTAAAGAAAAAAAGTTAGTAGAACTTTTCATTGGAGAAATAATGAAAAAAATACGTAGGCAAAGGGAAGAGAATGGATTTGACCTTTAGCAACTTTCTGAGCTGCGTTATGTCAAGGAAGATTCAACAGAAGAGACTGCTGTGCCTTTATGCCTTCTGTTCATGTTAAAAAGTAAAATAATATGTAATGCCTGTCCTCAAAGGATTTCTACTATAGTCTGCTGATGAAGAGAGAGAGACGAGGAAATCAGTGGTTACAACCCTCACAGTGAAATTTTAAAGGTCTGCACACGGATTGTGAGAACACAGAGAAAGGGCGTCTAAATTGATTTGGAAGTGAGGGAGGGCTTTCTGGCGATGTCCAAGGTGGAGTTTGAATGTAAATATTCCTATCTGTTCATTTTTAGTGAGCCAGGAAAATGGGCCCGGTGGAGGGAAGGGGGTAATCTCAAGAACTGGCTGTATCACTTAACTGTTACCTGCCCTTCCATAATTGACTTAAAACTCCTCTCTGGAAAGTGAGGATGACACCGTGTATCGTAAGAGTTCTGAGGGTTTCATCCATAGAAATCTGCTGAAGATTGTGCTAGTGACAAACAAGCAGTAACCAACTGAGATTTGATTACTGTCAGGCATCACTGGCGTGGAAGTTTCATCTCTGCTCCCAATCTTACCTCCCCAGCCCAAGTCCAGCGCCGGAGCAGGGAGCAGTCGAGGTCCGCCAGCGCGCTGAGCGTCAACGGAGGCGAGGAGAAGTCTGAGCACCTGTCCGCCTACAGCGACGGCGGCATCTTCTTCTCCGCGACCTCAGCAGGTACAAGCGGATGGCGCTGACTCTGACAGCCGTGGCCGGCGGTTATTACAGAGAAGCTCTGAGGAACAAACTCCCACCCCCACCCTCACCCTACCCCCAAAATCCGGATCCTTTCTTCTAATGAGAAAGGAGTAGAATTGTGGAGAGGTACATGAGTTAGGTGTTCCCTTTTCATGCCTCCTTTCTTGGAAATCCTTCTTTTTAAGTTAGGGGGAAAAGATAGTACTGCTTAGCTGCTAAACGCAGATTAAAGGATGTCTCGCCATGGTTTCTTCTTATAAATTATTTGTTTCCTTCCATTCAGCTTACAAACATGCAAAAACCACAGAGCTCCCACAACAACGTTCATCTTCAGTTGCAACCCAACAGACCACGGTATCTTCTATCCCATCTCACCCGTCTACTGCCGGAGTAAGTAAATAATAACTTCCCAAATAATCCTTAAGTTTTGACATGTACAAAAATGATTATAGATATTCTGGTTTTCTTTTTCTTTTTTTTTTTTAAAGCAAACCTTCCATTTTATATAATGCTCTACACATCTCAGGTTAACAATACCAGAAAAACGTCATTACTAAACTCAAACTAATTACAAAGCATTATTCCATGATTTAAAAAAACAACAAACAAATGAAAAACTAAGTCAAATGATTATTTTGGGCTATCTGACCCCACTCACTATCATAAACTAAAACATTTTCTGCTTGGAATCATTCTTTAAGAAATAAATATGTCATATCTTAGATCTCCCCAATTAACATATATTGAAGAGTTAAGTCAAATCATGTTTGCAACTCACCAAACTACTTTAAAACTCTTAATTTAAGACCTGGATCTTATTTATAATATCACAAAAACAGAAATCTTTAGGATTGAAATGAACATTTGTATGAAGAAAACTGTCTTTACTAAAGGACATAAATGAAGATCTAAATATGGATTGAGATCCATTATATTTTGGGAAGGGAACCTGGTAAAGTTGTCATTGATCCTAAAACAAATCCATAAATTTGAGGCAATTTCAGTCAAAATCCCAGTAGCATTTAAAAAAATTTTTGTATGTTATTCTTAATATTTATTTGAAAGAGTAAAGATGCAAGAATAACCAAGTAAATTTTGAAAATGACAATAGGACTTAACCATGTGAGAGCAAAACATATATAAAACTATTGTAATTAAATATGGACTTAGCATGGGAATGGATTTTTTAAAAGATAAAGTCCAAAAATGGATCCTAAAAGAATTACAAATCAGCAGGAAAAACCCAAAATTGTAGAATACTACAGCATACTACTGGTATGCTCCCAGATTCCCAAAATGAGAGATATCTGTACTATTGTTACGGTTTTTCAAATTCTCCAAAACATAAGATTGACCTCCTCAAAAGAAGGACAAAAAGGCCATATGTAAAATAAGTACATTCTTTTTTCATACAGACACATATACATGGTTTCATGAATACATTATTAACACACTATTAAGTTCATCATTTGAAGCATACAATTCCAATGATGTTTAGTTCATTGCAGTTGTTCAACATCACCATAATCTTAGAACATTTTCATCACCCTAGAAAAGAATCGTACGTGTCAGCAGTCACTTCCCATTCTGAGCTTCTCCATCCACCCTCCAGCCAATCCTAGGCATCCACTAATATACTTTCTGTCTCTAAATATTGACATTTTGCATAAATGAAATCACATAATATTTTGGGTCTTTTGTCATTGGCTTCTTCTACTTAACGTTTTGAGGGTTGTATCATACATCAGTACTTCATTTTTTTATTACCAAATAATATTCTATTGTATGGAAATACCACCTATTCTTTATTCATTCATCATCTGGGTGGGCATTTGAGTTGTTTCCACTTTTTGGCTGTCATGAATAATGCTGCTATGGATATGGGTGTACGTTATTGTATGGACATGTTTTCATTCCTCTTGGGTATATATATATATAGGAGTGGAATTGCTGGGTCATACGGTGACTGTTTAATGAGGGAAGAACTTTGAAAACTTTTCCAAAATGGCTGCACGTGTTACACCCCCATCAATTTATGAAGGTTCCAATTTCTCCACATCCTTTCCAAATAGCTGTTATTGTCTGTCTTTTTGATTTTCACCATTCTGGTGTGTATGAAGTGGTATTTCAATGTGGTTTTGATTTGCATTTCTCTAGTGACTAATGATGTCGCGAATCTTTTCATGTGCTTGTTGGCTCTTTGTCCTTTTGGAGAATTCAGGGCCATTGCCCTCCACTCCTTTCTTTTTTTGGTGTTAAATTGTAGGAGTTCTTTATATATTCTGGATAGTAATCCCTTATCAGATATACGATGTGCAAATATTTTCTCCTGTCTGTGAGTTGTCGTTTTACTTTCTTGGTGGTGGGTGCACATTCTCTTGTGCAACTTAAATGTATGGAGGACGTCTTCAGAGACCTTCAAATGAGGTGTTCAGGTTAATTGTTGCAAATCAAATGTAATTTTCCTCTTTTCCCCTCCTCAAATAGAAAATCTTCCGTGCCATGTATGACTATATGGCTGCTGATGCAGATGAGGTGTCCTTCAAAGATGGAGATGCCATTGTGAATGTCCAAGCTATTGACGAAGGCTGGATGTATGGCACTGTGCAGAGGACTGGCAGGACCGGTATGCTGCCAGCCAACTACGTTGAAGCTATTTAGGCATCTCAGAGCATCACGCCTGTCCACAGCGGCTCTCCATGCGTTTCAGTGTAGCCGCTACTAGTACCCAAATTCTCCAGCTGCCTAACGGTTTTTCTGTGTCAATATGATTTATGGTTGTATCATCCCTTAATTTCTTTCTACATCAACCTATTCTTCAGTTAAAAAAAAAAGTTAGCATCACTAATCTGTCCAATTATTAAACTGGTTTACTTCATTATTTTTTGGACTTGCACATGAAACAAGAGACATTAAACCCATAGGGTCATTATTTTTAAAATTGCCATTATCAAATTTTCCTTTAGGTTTTAAAATGTTTAATTTCAGAATAGACATTTTAAAAGTTTCTGCAATGGTATATTATTGTCATCAACCCAGTGTTTCTCCATTATGAAAATGTTTAACATTATTTCTTTTCTAAAACAAGGATTCTGAACATGTTAAACACATTAGAGAAAAATGGCACAGATATTCACCTTTTCCTGGCTTACTGAATGCTGATGCTTTTATTTCTAATCCAGTTCTGAAGTTATAAAGCTGATAGTAGATATAAACTGGTGATAAGCTAGTAACTAATAAAATCTATAATTCTGCAACAAACATCAATGATGGAATGAGCTTTATTTATTTTCAATAGTTTTAAGATCTACATATAAAAAATTTCAGTAAAGCAAATGCCTTACACTAGACTTTGTTAAAAAAATTAAACTTTAAAAAACGCAGTTAAAAATGAACAAGTGTAGACTTTCTCAAAACTTTACCCATACTTGTGCTCAGCAAGCTTCCCTTATGGTTCAGCTTATCAAGTTTTAGAAAGTTGTAGGATATAGTCCTAACTTCAGGGGACCTTTCTCATCTGTAGTCAGTGAGCTGGCAGTAAGGGGAAAAGTGCCAACCAACAATGGATTAATGCTTAAGTTTACAGAGTATCCTTTCTAAAACGCAGAAGATCCATCCATGCTACTTTAGAGCTGGGGTCACACTGCTGTCCTGACTTCTTATCGTGTGTCTGAGATTCACGGAGTATGCCAGGGAACAGTGCACGCGTGTGAATAATCGGGACTGCACCTGCACGCTAGGTATTGTGCGAGAGGCTGGGGTCAGGTGACGAACAAGCGACAGTTGGGGTCCTTATGGGACTTACAGACCTAAGCATCCTAATTGTGGGAGAGATAGCCACTCTCCCCCTTCCAAGTCTTCAATCTTCCCTTAAACTGGGTTAAACATCCAGGTAAAGCTGGGCAGCAATCCCATTGCAGACTAGAGATGCTTTACCCTAAATTTTGGGGAACACCCAAAATACATCCTGTCTGTTACAATAAATGTTTTAGTTTTTAAATTTCCAATTCACTTTATAAAGCTGCCAAAGCACACTTTAGATTTTTTTTTTTTAATTCGGGAATTGGGTGATGGGAACAGCGCTGGGAAATTGGGGGAAGGGGCACAAACAACTTGTCCTTTTTGTTCTTCAGTCTAGTTGTGGAGGATGTTGCTTCACTGGCCCAAGTTGGCACCATCATTGCGCTCTTCCCAGGAGAGGCAGATCAGTCGCCGGCTTCTGGACAGCAGTGCTGGCCACTCATGCTGGCTGCTGGCCGCCAGCCGCCAGGACTCACGGCAGCCCAGCTCCAGGTTGAGCTGTTGTTCAGCATCTTAGCCTGTAGAGGGCAGTGTCACTGGCCCTCATGTGTGGGATCTGAATCGGGGCCCTCCGGCGTCCCAAGCCAGCTCTTAACCAACGCGCCACTCGGCCAGCCCCCCAAAGCACACTTTATAGTTGCTCTACAAGGAATAATAGACACACTTATCTCTTAATTCTAGGGTGTGGTTTTTTTTAAAGCTTTACGTTTCAACATAGACAAACAGAGAATCCTACTATACTCACCTCCTAGCCTCAAAAGTTATCAACTCTTGGTTAATCTTGTTCCATCCTTCTCTATCCCACAAATGTCCTCCTCCCGTTACCTCAAAGTTAATCGTATTGGTCACATTGCTTAAAAATCAGTCACAATTGACACACCTTAAAACCCTGACAATAGCTAGTTCAAACATTCCTGTTCATCCAACTTTCTAGCCATCTGCTTGGGTCTGCATTTTCGTCAGTGCAATGATACTGGGGAAGTCCTTATTATGTATCTATGGCCCCAGATTCACAGGACCTCGGGCTGCACAGAACCTCAGTGACTAGATATTCCTGTCATCTTCAAGGTAGTAAAAGAGGTAAGTGACGTCTATAGATTAGCCAGAACTCAAACCTGGTTCTCTTGATGACCCGTGCTCAGAGTACTTACTGCTTGCTTAATGCCACTCTTGTGAAATGTTATGGGTTTTTTATGCCCTTTCCCCCAATGCCTCAGAATGTGACCTTGTCACTAGGGTCATTGCACAAGATATTAGTTAAGATGAAGTCATTAGGATGGGCCCTAATCCAATGGAACTGGTGCCTTGATGAAGGGAAATTTGGACAAATCAACAAAACACACAGGGAGATAAGGCAGAGCCTGGGGCGATACCTTCTATGTGCCAGGGAAGCCAAAACTGCCAGCAAACCACCAGGAGCTAGGGGAAAGGCATGGCGCAGTCTTCCTCAAAACGGCAGAAGGAAGGACACCTTATGTTAGACTTCTAGCCTCCAGAACTGAGACAATACATTTTTCTTTCAGCCAGTTCGTGGCTGTTACAGCAGTCCTAGTAAACTAATAATGTCTTTCAACATTACCAAGTCTATTCTTTTTTCTTGTTTAAAAATATGAATTTTAAGTGTGGAACCCATAAAATTGACTAAAAGGGAAATTATAGTTAAAAACAGGCCATAAAAGGGGGCAAGAATATGAGTGGTTCCTGTGTTTGTGGAGGGGATACAATGTTCACTTTAAGTTCGTATTTGGACTACGCTCACTGAAATAAAAATTTAAAAAAAAATCAAAAACCCAAACCAAGCAAAAATAAGTACCATAATTGTTTAGTTTTCATAGTTTTATTTCAGATTAAAGTGCATTTCTTTAAAATGTCTCAACATCGAGTTTCAATTGGCAGGTAGGTGGTAACAGTGAACTCTCAGATCACCAAGTTTTACTGTGCATCCCAAGATTTTCCCTCCCTCAACCCAGTCATAATGAATCTGAAAACAAACATTGTATAAAGCATTACACAGATCAAACTGCCTGCATCCTTATTTCCCATCTACTAGTGCGGTTCACTAAGAATGGGTACTTCTGTGAAGTTTCATCTTAAATCACTTATCAAATATAAATATTTCTTGAATGTAAAACTAAGTTCTCTTAGTTTTTCAAGTGCTGAGAAAATACTACAGGGCTAATAAATGAGTGGTTTGGCTTCTCCATCTTTATCTAAGTGCGTATTAGTCAAGTCTATCCATAGGAGGTAGTTTAGATGGAAAGCAATCATTACTCACCAACACAGAAAGCAAACTGTGACTTAACCAATTAGTGCCAGACACCTTTCCCACACACATCAATGTCCCTTAACAGCCATAAACACATAACTATATCTTAAGAGTTTAAGTAGGAGAAAAAAATGTTTCTAACAAGTACTAGTATCTCCTAGTATATGTGTATTTGAGCAACAGTAAGACATAAACGAATTCTGGGGCACCCATTTTATAAAGTAAACTCTAACAGCAATAGAAATTGAGGAAGACCCGCCCTTTGCCAGCTCTAAGCAAATGACCAAACTGACTAACTACCATGTATGAACAAAACTATCCTTTATAAGAGGAATTAGTGAACTTAGTATATAAGGGCCAGACAGTAAATGTTAGGTGATACAGGCCACGGTCTGTCAGACTACTCAACTGCAGTTTTAGCAAGACAGCTGCCAAACATGTAATTAAGCAGGGCTGTGTCCCAATAAAACCTTTACACTGAAGTTTGAACTTCCCATTATTTTCATGTATCACAAAATATTTTCAGCCATTTAGAAAATGTAATATCCATTATTTCATAGGACATATAAAAAAACAGGTGGCAAGCTGTAGTTTGTTAACACCTGCTCTATAAAAATGTACTAGGTAGGGCGGCCAAGTTCTTATACTCAAAACTGATTGTGATTCATTCCGTTTTTCTATTAGAAAGTTCCCATTCTATAAATTCTTTAGATACATGCTATTCAGGTATCAAAACAGCCTGTACTATATATTCCATTTTCAATTCCATGACACTCTTTTTGAAGGTGAACTTCCTAGTTCTCTATGCATTTTATCCATTTAAGAAATAATGCTGGGCCGGCCGAGTGGCGCGATGGTTAAGAACTGGGACGCCAGAGGGCTCCGGTTCAGATCCCACATATGAGGGCCAGTGATACTGACCTCTACAGCTAAGATGCTGAACAGCTCAACCTGGAGCTGGGCTGCCTGAGTCGCCCCAGACGGCGTAGGCTGCAGCCCCTGTGGCAGTGGGTTGCCATGAGCTACCCTGTGTAGCCAGCAGCCAGCATGAGCGGCCAGCAGCCGCAGTGAGCAGCCGTCCAGAAGCTGGCGACTGATCTGCCTCGCCCGGGAAGAGCGCAATGATGGTGCCAGCTTGGGCCAGTGAAGCAACGTCCTCCCCAACTAGACGGAAGAACAAAACGACAGCAACTTGTCTGTTCCCCTTCCCCTAATACCCCAACGCTGTTCCCATCCCCCTAATACCCCCCCCCCCAAATAATAATGCTGCCTTTCATTGCAAATTATTTAATGCCTTTTGGAAAGCAAAGTATTCAATAATGCCTGGTAATTACATTGTCATGCATAGACTAATTCTCAGGGACCACTGGCTGCCCGCTATTTTCAAAGTATAAAGGGCTGTTTGTTTCTATATTAAAATGGCCTAGTTGCTCTATTAATAGTTCAGCTCAATCTGTCTTTCCTTCTTTTTATCACTTATTGGCACATCAGTCTCTATCAGCATGTTTGCTGTCTAATAATCTTAGTTTTATTCACAATTATATTGGGTTGTCGGAAAAGTCATGACGTATTTTTTCTCTGTTTTTCGTTGCAAACATGTATCATGACATTTCCGGCAACCCAATAAATCGGTACACTGTGGCCTAAAGATGTTTCCTCTGCTAGAAGGGAAAAAAGCTATGGAGGCTTTTTCTTCCACATGACATCAATTTAAAATACTTCCTTCAATTTATCCTCTCACGTAAAGAGATATGTTACTGTAATGGTATATTTCAGGGGAGTAAGCCTTTACAGCTTGGCATTTCATGGTTGGTTTTAACTGTTCTTTGGTGAAAGGCTTCATAGGAGAAGGAAAAAATTGTTTAAGACCACATTGTAAAATTTAACATTCTATTTCAAGAACTGAGTAAACACTCATACTTCTGAGACTATTCTATTAAATATCTACACATCTTTAAATTCAAGTAACTCAGATTTAATGGATGCTTTCAAAAAGCAATATAAACTCTGGTATAAAACAGACATGTCATTAATTGGGTCGTCAGAACCCACAAAGCCCAGATTTGTTTTAGAAATCAAGCAGTCAAATTCTGATGAAACAACTGCAAAAACTCATTACTTAACTTCTGGCTACACTTTCTTAAGTGCTTTGGAAGAGGGCAACTCTTATAAAAAAAAAGAGTATTTAAATATT